AGGAATGCCTGAAATTGAAACCATGGTGAGTCCCGTCAGTGGGAATAACTTGATAAAGACAGGGCAGGCAGTTGCCCTTGCCCCATGCCAACCTGTATAAACATCAGCCATCACTGTTTAGTAACTAGATGGTTTTCAGACAAGTCCATGAATGGTCATAGACTACATATAACAACATGCCAGTTCACAACAGGAAACAACTTATGTGTACTTCTTGATTTCGTCATATAGCACTAAGACAAAAGCACCACCCATTCCTCGGAGTACATTCGACCATGCTCCCTTGAAAAATGCCTTGGAGCCCTCGTCCCTGGCAATCTTCCGCCAGCAGTCAATAGTGCCGCTGTACATTATGTCAGCTGCAGAGACAGACAGTGTTAGGAATTGGATGCCTGTGACCCCTGTTATCCAGGCTAGAAACAGCCTAACATATCTGCCAGCATCATAATCTCAAGTGCATCCCACTTCTTGACTGACTTTCTCCAGTATTAGCGCATCAGAGGACAAGACTGCCCAGGAGATACGCTGCTGCTGCTGCTTTACCCCTAGGAGACACTGGAAGAACCAGTTCGAGCAGAAGGCAGGTACTGTTTGCTTTGACACCAACACTTCCAGACCCAGAAGCTATTGCACAGCCAGCCAGGCTGTGCCTGCTACCAGGGATGTCTCTTCTTGGCCCAGAGACACTAGATTGCAACATCCTTGGGCAAGTTCTGCTGTTCCTACCTACTGACAGACATCTGACTTGTGCATGCCACCTTACAGGTGGCTTGCGCAGACTGATCCGCCCGTGCCCCCCACCTGACACCTGCTTCTGCAGCACCTCTCACACCCTGCTCTTTACAAGAGGTGAGGATATCTACACGGCTTCACCTCAGCTCCACCAACAACTGCTGATTTAGGGATGCCCAATGTTTCCTACACAATAAGGTAGAAACTTACTTCCTTTACGGCCAGACTGCATCATCATGCGACGACGAACCGTGTCAAAAGGGTAGGACACCAAGCCGGCGACGGCGGTGACGGACTGCGCGATCATCCAGCTGACAACGATGTGAGTGTTTTTTGGGTCGGGAAGCATGCCTGCGGGAGAGAGGTTTTGATGAGAACAGCAGGTGACCCGCCGGCATCTGCCAAAACGCCCAACGTGGCCCAGCATCTCCCTTTTAGAGCCGTTCTGGCCAACCTACCCTTTGCAGTGTCGTAGATGCCAAAGTAGGCAGCTCTGTAGATGATGATACCCTGGACGGAGACACTGAAGCCCTGGTACAGGCCCCTGAGGCCGTCCGACCGGAAGATTTTGACCAGGCA